CTCCCCCACCCCGCCCGCGCCTAGCCTCAGCGACCCTCTGGGGTGGGGGGACTGAACCGTGGGCTCCTCAGGCCTGGCTTGTTCTGCTCACAACTGCATCCCTGGACCCAGGTCCCTGCCTGCTGGCCATGCTTCTCGCCATCAATGTCCCCAAGAGCCCAGATGGGCACACTGCTGTCTAAACCACCCCTGCTGCATGTAGTGCAAGGCCTTTCAAGCCTGGCCTGCCCCGTGACTCAATTTTCCCATCTGCAAGTGGGTTTTTTGTTTTGTTTCAATTTTTGTTTTGCGGTGACGGGATGGAACCCATTTGGTGCATGCTCCCCAAGGTCTGCCCCCTCTCCCCATGTCACAGGGCCAGGTGGGCATGGATATGGACGGTGAGGGCTCTGCCCTGTGACTTGCTCCCCCTCCCTGCTGGCCGCTGCTTCCTTAACCTGCTCCTGCGCTCCCCTTAACCTTTCTCTCCCACAGCCACTGCCACCCTGGCTCGGAGGTGACCGCGTTGCTCAAGCGGCGTATGTGTCCGGCCGCGTCCCTGCCGCGTCCCTGCGCCTCCTCTCTGCTCTCTGTCCTCCCTGTGCCGCTGTCACCGCCTCCTCCTAGCAAGGCGGCCCCCCACCTCGCACTTGCTGCCGGCTCCTCGGGGCCCCTCCCCCAGGTCCCCTTGCCTGGAGGGAAGGCCAGCACCCACACAGCCGGCCTCAGGGTCTCAGTTTGGTCTGTGCGCTTGTCCTGGGCTCCGGCTGTGCCTGAGGGCAGGCTGGGCAAGCAGAGCGACTTGTCGGTGCTCCTCGGTTCCGGGGTCACCCGCACTGGGCCAGACGACATCCATGGTTTCTATGGGTGATCGGCACCAGCTCTGCCCGGGGGTAAACCAAGGCAGGGGAATGAGGTCATTTGTCTCTTTAGGGCCGCACAGCTGAAAGGGCCTGAGATAGGGCTTGTAACCCTGCAGGCAAGGGACATTTGGTCCCGTTGTGGGTGCCCCAACAGGCGGGTTCGGCACCACGTGCCCAGTGACTCCAAGCTACTGCAGGGGTCACACTTGTGGCCTTTATAGTGATGTTTCTGGAGGTTAAAGCCACACTCCTGCCCAGGGCCCTGAGGAACAGATGTGTTTCCGGGGACCACTCAAGGCATGCAGGTCTCCTGCGAGCGGGCTCAGCATCCCGGGCCCCTCGGACCTGGGATTTGGGGACCCCGCTGCTTCCAGCACGGCAGTTTACCGTGCGCTGTTAACTTGGCTCGCTCTGCCGTTTAAGGGTGCTCTGGAGAGGGAAGGTCGTCCTACAAGGGTAGGTCCAGGTCCCCAGATGAGGTCACACCTTCCCTTCACCTGAGGAGTGGGGACAGCCAGGCTGGGTCCCCATGTGACAACCCTTGCTGAGCAAACGCCACCCACAAAGCCGCTGCACTCCCACAGGGACATGCTCCCTGAACACCCAGGGGCTCGTTTCCAGGGTGTGAGCACGCACTCTTTAAGCATGGGCCACAGTGCAGCTGCCAGCATCTGCCATTCCCTACAAGGAGCCACATACCCAACACTGTTGTCACGCCCGCCACCCCTCCTGCTGCACCCAACACTGTCACCTAATCTGCCGCCTACGTTCGTGGCCACCTCCACCAACACGTCCATGGGGCCCCCTCCGTGCCCAGCCCCACCCGTGACTAATAGAGGCCCTGGTGCTGTGACCCAGCAGTACGGAAGAGGTGCTGTCCCTGGAGGAGAAGGACCTGAGGGATCGGGAGAGGCGCATGGCCAATAACGCGCGGGAGCGGGTGCGCGTGCGCGACATTAACGAGGCCTTCCGGGAGCTGGGGCGCATGTGTCAGCTGCACCTCAAGTCCGACAAGGCGCAGACCAAGCTGCTCATCCTGCAGCAGGCTGTGCAGGTCATCCTGGGCCTGGAGCAGCAGGTGCGAGGTAGGGTCCCCGGCCGGCGCAGACGGACGCGCCCACCCTATGGTCCCAGGCTCTCCACCACCCCGGAGGCCCCAGGACCCATCGATGAAGGCGGCTCCGCCAAGTGCAGCATCCCCTCTCCCTGCATCCCGTCCCTGTCTGTGTTGCCTCTTCTGAGGACCCGTGCCCACCCTGCTTTCCCCTCCCCCTCAGAGCGCAACCTGAACCCCAAAGCAGCCTGCCTGAAGCGACGGGAAGAGGAAAAGGTGTCAGGCGTGGTCGGGGATCCCCAGATGGTGCTTCCGGCTGCCCACCCGGGCCTCAACGACACCCACAATCCTGCCGGGCACATGTGATGGGCACGACGAGGGACCAGTCTCGCTCCGGGGCCCCTGCGCTCAGATATCGCGGGAAGGGTCCTGGAGTCCGTCTGCGGGCCTGCCCTGTGGGTGCACCCCTAGGGCTGCCTGGAGCCCACACCAGACCCCATGCTCCTGGGACGGCCTGAAGGGACAAAGGGGTCCGGGCAACCTGGCCCACTATTGTGGCCACTTCAACCCATGCCGGCTGGCCACTTGCCCCAGGAATCCTGGCGCTGCATCTTGGCCCCAGGGACTAGGCTGGAAGGAGCATTTTTTTTCCTTTTTTGTTTTTTTTGGGAGGGCGGTTATAAACAAGACCAGAAACCAACAAAATATACACTTTGTCAGAAATGAAAAAAAATGCCTTAAGTATATAAAATCGTGGAGGACTCATCACTCTGGAGGAGGGTGACCCTGCAAAGGTAGCTTCTTTGAAAGCCACCAGCAAATCGTGCCTAAGCGTATTTTTTTTAAGGAGAATAAAAAGAATATTAGTTATGAGGGGCTTTTTTTCTAATGTAGAAGAGAAAAAATTAGCGAGGATGTTGCCTTCGGTTTTTTTTTTTTTTTAAGCTTTCTTTTGCATATGTTTTATAAGCAACAAACTTTTTTGTATGAAAGTCTCGTGTCTTGCTGTTTCTAGAAGTGAGTGGTGCATTTCATGATCAACCAGGTTATTAAAAAGTATTAAAAAGACCCAATGTCGACCTCAGGTACCCCTAGCCCGCACTTGGTACTCTGGGAGCTGTGTATGCACAGCACTGCGGCCGCGCCCCCTTCTGTTTTCCTAGATGGCAGGGCTTTTCCTGATGGGTCCGTTCCCCAGCTTCCTTCTCTCAGGGACGGTACCTTCAAAGGCTTCCGAACCTTAAGATTAGGGAGGAAGAGAAGTGAACGTTCCAAGGGTCCCCTAAAGCACCTAACCCACCCAGCCCCCCTCTGAGGACCTAGAGCCATCGCTTGTGAGCCTGTTGGGGTCCCTATTTCCGGCTGGGAAAATTGGTGGAGGAGATGTGGCCTGGGGAACAACAGCACATCACTACCCCACCTTCAGTCCGCTCACTTAATTCCCACGCTGGGACTCGGCCTCGTGGGGACCATCCTAGGGCCATTGGGAGATTAGGCGTGGCAGGGTTTCCCCAGAGGGGACCCTTGGCTGCATATCCCAACCACCACACTGACACCCAGCTGCCGAACCAAGAGGGCACTGCGGAGGCTGGGACCCCAGTGTCCAAAAAGCTCAGCAGTGGAAACAGGATCCTGTCCTGGAGGAGGTCATAGGGAGGCAGGGCCAGCACCCAGGATGCTACCTGGGGTTGAGGGACTGAGAACAGTGGAGTTGGGAGAGGTGGGGGTCCCTGGGCCCCAGAGATGCGGAGCTCATAGTTTTTGCTTTCACTGTTGCTGGCTGCTCAGATCCCCCGCTCCCGCCCTTACTCTCCTCTGCTGCCCAAGTCAAGGCACACTACCACTGCGTCTGAGGCCTCCCTTGCTCCCTGTCGCCGAGGGCATCAACACTCCACTCTTGAGAGGTCTGCTCATGACTCCTCCAGAACCTGACCCCTGCCAACTATGGGCACAGGTGCTGTTGCAGCTGTCTCTGTTGCTTTACCTGGACCTGGGGCCTCCACTGTGCAGAAGTCACAGGTGAACTTGGCCCTCCCCTCTCAGGGGTGTAGGGATAAGTACCTGGCCACTCGAGACGAATAGTGTGGGGCTGGAAGGGAGGCGGTGAGGCCAGGAGCAGACCAGGCCACGATGCGCCCTGCGCCTCCTCAACTTGCAGTCATGGCTAAAGTGATTCTGGGGCTGCCCGGCCACCCGGGATTCAACAGACTTGGCCAACGTGCCATCCCGAATGGAACACGCCATGGAAACCATGATGTTTGCATTTCACAAATTTGCCGGGAACAAAGGCTACTTAAGGAAGGAGGACCTGCGATTGCTCGTGGAAAACGAGTTCCCCGGGTTTTTGGAAAATCAAAAAGATCTCTGGCCGTGGACAAAATCATGAAGGACTGGACCAGAGCCAAGGTGGCGAAGTGGGCTTCCAGAGCTGCTTTTCACTGATCGCAGGCCTCTTCCCCATTGCGGGCAGTGATTATTTTGTAGTAAACATGAAGCGGAAGGGAAAGGAGGAGGCAGACTCGAACACTTACTCCTGCCCTGCTGAGGGTTCTCCCAAAGAGCCACTTAGGGAATCTGCCTCTCAGTGTCCCCACTTTAAAAATGTCACGAGCAGACCCGGACCCTTAGAAAATGCACAGATAACATCCAGCTCTCATTGGACAAGCAGAGAAAGTTAAATGCCAGCTAAATTTTTGATTGTTATATTGTTTGCATCCTGTTGCCCTCAATAAGGTCTTTTTTTTTTTTAGTTCTGAAAAAAAATTTTAAAGAAAAAGAATGTGAGGCTGGAAGCACAAACTTGTCATTCCAGCACTTTGGAGAGCCTGAGACTGCGGCATTGAAAGTGAGCCCAGCCTGGGAAATTTAGCAATTAGTAAGACACTGCCTTGAGAGAAGGAAAGAAAGGAAGAAAAGGAAAGAGGAAGAAGGGCTGATGAGGTAGCTTAATGTGAAAGCGCTGGATTCAACTTCTAGTGTGTAAAGTAAATGAATGAAATAAATACAGATGCTGGAAAAGTGTTTTTCTTCCCTCAGTGACTCTTATCCACACAGTAAGTGGGAAATGACTGGGAGAGCGTTCAGGTTGCAAACACACAGGATGAAGTAGGGTGACGGCGGGGATACTGCTTTCACTGGGATATGGAGGCCGGCTTGTTCTCTGGGGTGGTGTCCTGGTCACCGCGTGGTGCTGAGCAGTGTTTCTGGCCTCCACCTACTCCATAGTAGGAACAAAAAATACCCCCAGTGGCGACACCATAAATGTCCCCAGATAGCACCCAGTGTTCTCTGGAGGCAGAGTTGCCCTGGAATGAAATCTCATTTTATCATCCCACCCCTGGTTGAGGCACAGGCATTTCACAAAAGCAGGAGCAACAAGGCTAGGAAGCTTCAGGAACGGCAGGACCTGGGACCCGCATCGCTCAGACCCTGTCCCCATCCCTGCTCCCTATCCAGGTTGACTTTCTCTCCCTTCTTTATATTCTTCGTGACAGGTTCTACGTACCACTTTTTAAGTTTCTACCAGTAGTTACAATCTGATCTCAAGCCCCCCAAACCTCAGGACACCCAGAAAGATCTAGGAATAACTTCCAGCTTGGTAGCGACGGGCAACCCTGGTACCTACACTGCTGCCTCTACTTGGGGGCCTTGGCCAGGGAACAGGCAGGGGACCCAGCAGGCTCTGGAAGACTGCAGGAAGAGCTGGTCAGGGCTGGACAAACTCATTGGTTTGTCTCTTACCACCAGGCCTGTTGTGCTGCTGGACCGGTTCTCTAGGAACCCCTAACCCCCGTCCTTTATCCCCCATCCCTATATTGGGAATTGAATTCAGGCCTGAGCTACATCCCCAGCCTGCCTTTATTTCTTTCCTTCTTTCTTTCTCTTTGTACCGGGGATCGAACTTGGGATCTTGCGCTTGAGAGACAGGTGGCAGAACCACTGGGCTAAAGCCCCGGCCCCCGGCCTTTAACTTTTAAAATTTTGAGACAAGTTCTTGTCTTGTTCTCACTTGTGATCCTCCTGCCTCAGCCTCCCAGAGTGCTGGGATGACAGGCACCCGCCACTGCACCCATATAGGCTGTGACCTTTCTCTCCATTCTGTCCAGGCGTCTGGGGGTTAAGGAACCCAGGGGGCTGAGGAAGCACTGAATGGAAATGTAAAAGACCTCTGGTACACTAGCTGCTGGCCTTCTGGGAGCTCGTCCGTTTTTTTCAACCCACATCTGCCGTGCGTGCGAGTTGGGGCTGGAAGCTGGCAGTTTACTAAGCTATGTGACAGACTCAGGAGGTCGGAAGAGGCCTGGACTGGAGGAAGGAAAGGCCGGCACAGCAGCAGGAAGCTACGATTCCCAGGGACCTGTCAGCCGAGGGGCTCTCGCGAGACCTCGGTCGCCCTCTGCTGCCGGCACGAGAAATTGCCTGCGCTCTCCCACGAAAATGTGCAATTTCCGACTCGGCCTCCAAGTGCTCCGGATGAGCTGATTGGCGCCCTGCCATTTGGCCAGAGTTCCGCGGCGAGTCCGTGACAAACCCTGACCCGCTCCCCTCAAAGTGGGTTCAAATCTCAGCCCTTTCCTTCTGTGTGATTCTGGACAAGTTCCCTTCCCCAATTGGCCTCAGTTCTCTTCACTGTAAATAACGTTGGCACTAAGTTGTACAAAGTCACTGCTCAATTGTTCTGGGACATCTTGAGTCAGCCGCAGGGCGCAGCCCAGGCGAGGGCCACTCTGACCCGCAGAGGTGACACAACCCTTCGCTACACGTGTCCGCACTACCCGCCCACCAACATCGCGTCCCTTAATGCATCCGCACCGTCACCGGAAGTGACTATAAGTGTCTTCCGGGGTTGCCCGCACAGCCGAAAGGCGGAACCGCGCGGGGGCCTTCACGCGCATGCGTACGGTGCCTACGTTAGCGCTGGGCTGCCTGGCCGCCGGACAAGGTGACCGGCTTAGCGGACAGAGCTGCGATGCTGACCAGGTTCCTGGGCCCGCGCTATCGGGAGTTGGCCAAGAACTGGTGAGGATGCTGCCCGCAGCCTCAGCCTCAGCCCCAGCCCATTCCCGCGCTGCTTCGGCGCCGGTCCGGGGTCCTCTACTGTGCCCCATGACAGAGGGGGAAACGGACGGTCGTACAGGCGAAGCGCTCCGCCCCAGCGCGAGCCGGAGGTAGCCAAGTCTAGGTTGGATCCGGCACTCTTGCCCCGTGCCTGAGCCCCCGAGCCTCAATTTCCCCATCTCTACCTGGAGAATCTGGCAGTGCTCACCTCGACGGAAATTCCAGAAGGCGCCGGCAGGTTCCCGAAACTCCGAACCCGACGCCAACCTGAACCCTTTTAATGTTTTATTTATTTTATTTAATATTTTGGTACCGGGGATCGAACTCGGGACCTTGCTCTTGCGAGTCAGGCAGTGGAACCTCTGAGCTAAATCCCTGGCCCTTAATGTTTTATTGTGAGACAAGGTCACGCCGAATTGCCCAGGCTGGGGTAAAACTTGCAATCCTCCTGCCTCAGCTTCTCAGAGTGCTAGGATTACAAGTGTGCGACCCCACACCCGGTTGATTTTGTTTTTTTGTTTCGTGAGAAAAGTCTCTCTGTAATCCAAGCTGGCCTTGAATTCACTGTGTAATCCAGGCTGTCCTCTTGCTTCAGCCTCCCAAGTGCTGGGATCACAGGCATGAGCCACTATGCTGAGTGTCAAATTATTTTTAACAAGGTGAATGAAACCGGTTTCCACATGGGAACGGGGATCAGATTAATGTGGCCCCTCGTGGGAACCGGGATGGGAGTGACCTCAGGGGACACCTAGGGTGCTAAGAAACCAGGGTTTATTTCTGGAAAGGTGGTCATGTCTGGACAGTGGGGCCGGTTGGTAGCCTTTGGATTAGGAATTCCCTGTTGTTAGCAAGTCGGGGAGGGGAGAGCAGGCCACAGGGGCCCCGCAGCCCTGTCACAACAGCTCTGACTTTGGGAGGCCAGGAAGTGGGTCTTTGCAGGAGGTGCTGTGAACTTGTGTCTGAGTCCAGGAACTTTCAGGGGCTCCTGGTCAACCTGGCTGAGTCCCAGTGTCCTGGTCTGAAAATGGAGAGGCAGGTGAGGTTTTGTGGGGTGGTCAGTGTGGCCAATTATTTGTGTCCTTTCTCTCTCTCTCTCTCTCTCTCTCTCTCTCTCTCTCTCCCTCCCTCCCCCTCTCTCGTACCAGAGATCAAACTCGGGTCCTTATGATTCGAGGCAGGCGCTGAAACCACTGAGCTAGATCCCTGGACCCTGTGTCCTTTCACAATACCTAGTGGAGTCAGGTTCACAGTGCATGTTCCCAGTCTCCGTGGACGTGACCAGGATGATGAGGGAAATAGAGGCTGATCAGCCCAGCAATTTACCTGGAAGGGAAGGTTCCTCTGATGATGAATAACTGTTGCATGATGGGTGAAAGACCCCATTGTGTTAGTGACCTCTGTCCCATCAAAAGTACAGTGGCAAGGCCGGGGATTTAGCTCAGTGGTGCCACCGCCTGCCTTGCAAGCACAAGGACCTGAGCTCCACAGTACCAAAAAAAAAAAAAAAAAAAAAAAAAAAAAAAAAAAAAAAAAAAAAAAATTGCAGGGGCAGCAGCAATCAGAAACTCCTGTGTGGGCCATGCAGGGTGAGCAGGGATCTGGCCTGTGCATGGGACTTATCTACAGTGAGGCAGCTGGGGCAAGGGTGACGTGTCCTCTTGTCACCTCAAGGGGGAAGACCTGCAGAGTTTTGGTTCACTGTGACCTGTGAGGTGGGGGCTGAGGTTTAAATGCAGCTTCCTCGGGCAGCAATGAGACTGTTAAAGTTATCCACAGCTGTGTAAGAAGCCACCCCAGCAAGCAGTAGCTTCAAACAAATGTTTGCTGGCACAGTGGTGCATATGTGTAATCCCAGCTGCTGGGAGGGCTGAGGCAGGAAGATTGAAAGTTCAAGGCCAGCCTGGGCAATTTAGAAAGACCCTGTCTCAAAAAAGGGCTGGGGATGTAGCTAGAGTAAAGGCCCTGGCTTCAATCCCCGGTACAATTTTTAAAAATTTAAAAAGCAGGGGTTGTCATTTGGTGGGTTCCATCCCCAGTTCTTAAGCAGAACCCCCGAAAGAAAGCAGATCAGTGTGGCAGGGCCAGGTGATGTGGATCTGACTAAAGCCCCCTGAGGCCTGGCAGCCTGGGTAGGTCACTAGCTACTGTAGGATCCAGGGTCACCTGCCCTGTTTCTGTCCTGTACCTCCCTCAGCATTGGGCAGAGGCCAGGCCCATGTTGGTGCCTGACAAATGGTAGCTTGGGGGTCAGAGGGCTCCCAGGTACGCAGACAGCAGAGGGTCCTGGAGGATGTGTCCTGAGCAGGGCCCAACTGTTGCTCTTCTTGCAGGACCCCAACAGCCACTGTGTGGGGCGCTGTGGGCGCCGTGGGGCTGGTGTGGGCCACAGACTGGCGGCTGATCCTGGACTGGGTACCTTACATCAACGGCAAGTTTAAGAAGGATGATTAGTCAGCTGCTCCTTTCGGAACCCTCTGGTGAGTCTTGCCCTAGCCTGAAGCCTCTGGGCCTGGCCTGCTAGCATTAGTGGGCCCAGTGGTGGTGGTTGGAGGAAGAGGAGGGGGGATTTGCAGGATACTGGGATGACCCTCCCTGAAGGTTCTGCACAGTGGCCAAGCTTGGAGCCAGCACAGTGGCTGGGAGGATCCCAAGTTGGAGTTTAGTTCAGGTCTTGATTTATTTAGAAAAAATAAGGGCTGGAGTTGGGGTTCAGTGGTGAGCGCCTGTGTAGCCTGTGCAAGGCCCTTGATTCCATCTTAGGAAAAACTAGGTGGGTCTCAGGCATCCCCTGCTGTGTAGCACAGAGCTGGGTGGAAGGATGGGGTGTGAGCTAGGCAGCACCCCCAGTCCTAGAGGCTGAGCAGTGCTCGCAGCCCTGTCCTGGGCAGGACTCGTATGCTCATTTTATAGAGGGGTAAACTGAGCCTGACCCACAGCTGTTGGGCATTAGGTGAAAGTGGGCTCAGCCATGTTTCCCTACTGCACATGGCTGTGCCTCTGCTCTGCCTGTCACTAGCTCGTTACACATGTGGCAGTCCCTCATGGACACCACTTACACCCCCATGCACAGATGGGGACCTCAGGCTGGCCACAGTTCAGCTCTAGCGCCATCCACCTCCTCCATCCCTGGATCCCGGATCCACTGCCCTTCTGTGTGGCTGGAGTCCCTGGCCATTTGGGGGACCCTCTGCTCACCCTGCCTTGTCCCTTCCCCAGGTGTCTGGTGGTGCCACATGTTCCCACCACAGCGCTCCTGTGTGCAGAAAGCCCCGAGGATGGACACCAAGGACACTGAACAGTTTTGATATTTTAATGCACAGAACATTAAACCTTACTCTCAAACCTGCCTTGCCTGGACCTTGATCGTGACGGTGACCTGGTGCTCTTGACCAGTGCCACCAAGACTCAGGTGACCCAGGGCTCCCTTTGGCTCCACAAGTTTGCAAACCAAGAGGTTTTTCCAGTGGCTGGCACAGGTTGCTTAAATGTTTAGAATATTAACGAGGGCCAGGGATTTAGCTCAGTGGTTCTGCCCCCTGCCTCACAAGTGCAAGGTCTTGAGATCGTTCCCCATTACCCAAAAATAAATAAAATATTAACAGATCAGCCAGGTGTGGAGGTGCACACCTGTCATCCTGGCACTCTGGGAGGCCATAGCAGGGGTATTGCAAGTTCTAGGCCGGCCTGGGCAACTCAGTGAGACCCTGTAAAAGACGGCTGAGGACATGAGCTCATTTCATCCCCAGTACCACACACACATACAACATGAATGGAGGATAGCTGCACAGTAGTTTCATCTGTTGCTGTGGAACAGTTTGGCCTACGTCCGCAGTGGTGCAGGAGACCAGACATTCAGCATCTCCTAGTTTCTGTGGGTCAGGGATCTGGGGGGAAGTAGCTGGGCAGTTGCCGCTCCAGGTCTCTCCTGAGGGAACCAGCGCTGCTCTGCCTGGGCTGCAGGAGTCTGTCCTCGTGGTGGCACTGACTTCTTAGAGAGGGAGGAAACCTCGGTGATTTTATGACCCAAGCTCAGAAGGCTCATGATGTCATTTCCTTCCCTTCCGAGTCCAGCCCACACTAAAAGGGAGGAGGTCTGGGATCTTTTTTTCCTTTGGCAGTGCTAGGGGTGTAACACAGGGCCCCTGGCATGCTAGGCAAGTGCCCACCACTAAACCACACCCAGCCTCAGATATTTTGCAGTGTTGGTAAGGGAACACAGGGCTAGCCATGAACTCACCACTGAGGACTGGACATCCCCGGTCCTGTTGGGGTTTTTTGGTTGCTGTTTGGTTGTACTGAACCCAGGGCCATTGCACTGATCTATCTTCCCTCCTTCCTCTTTCCTTTCTCTCTCTCTCTCTCTCTGCTTTATTGGAACCAGGGATCCAACTCAGCACCTTGCACTTGCCAAGCAGGCAGCGGAATCACTGAGCTAAATTCCTGGCCCATTGCACTGATTTATATCCCCAACCTTTTTAAAAAACATTTTTAAGACAGGGTCTAAGTCTCTAAATTGGTCAGGCTGTGTTTAGAAATGTGATCCTCTGGCCTTAGCCTCCCGGGTGCTGGACAGATGAGTACCACCACACTTAGCTTGGATTTTTTTTTTTTTTGTACCAGGGATTGAACTCAGGACCTTGCACTTGTGAGGCAGGCAGCAGTAGAACCACTGAGCTAAATCCCTGGCCTGGAATATTTTTGTAAAGATAGGTCTTGCTGTGTAGCTCAGGCTATTCTTAAATTAATTAGCCCAGGCTGGTCTCAACCTCACAGCAATCTTCCTGCCTCAACCTCCCAAAGTGCCGGAGTTACAGGCACGCACCACCACACCAACTTGGAAGGTGGTTTTGGAGGTCAAACTTCTATGATCCAACATCTCAAAATCATCAGGATATTTACCATAGAAGAAAAAAAATAACAAGCTTTGGTGAGAACACAGAAGAATTGGAACCTTTGTGCACTGCTAGTGAGAATGTTAAATAGCAGCCTAGCAGTTCTTCAAATGGTAAATGGTTATATATAGAGGTCACAAATAGTGCAGCAATGTTGCTGTAAGTGCTCCATAGTCCCAAAGCAACTGAAAACACAGTCTCAAGATAATTGCCTACCTGTGTACACGTACAGATAGCAGTGTTCATCACAACAGCCCCAGAGTGGGAGTGACTCGAGCAAGTATTGGGTGAATAAATGTGGTCCATCCATACAGTGGAGTACTACTCAGCCAGACAAAGCAGGGAATCCTGCCACCTGCCTCAGCAAGGATGGACCTTGAGGCCTTGTTTCTTAGGGAACTGAGCCAGACACAGGAGGACACACACTGCAGGGCCTCACTCCCAGGAGACGCCAGCGTGGTCAGATCCACAGAAACAGGAAAGAGGACAGTAGTGCTGGACTGGGTAGGGGGCGGGAGTCATTGTTTCCTGAGAACAGCTCAGTTTGGGGAGATGGAAAGTTCTGGAGGTGGGTGGTGGGGATGCTTCGTAGCCAGGGGATATGCTTAAATTAATGCCCCTGAACTGTGCAGTTAAAAATCGTACAACTGCCGGGAGTGGTGGCACATGCCTGTAATCCCAGCACTTGCGAGGCTGAGGCAGGAGGATCTCTGTGAGTTGGAGACCAGCCTGAGCTACATAGTTCCAGGTCAATCTCACTACATAGTGAGACCCTGTCTCAAAAAAACCAAAAAAAAAAAAAAAAATCGTACAACTGCCGGGAGTGGTGGCACATGCCTGTCATCCCAGCACTTGCGAGGCTGAGGCAGGAGGATCTCTGTGAGTTCGAGACCAGCCTGGGCTACATAGTGAGCTCCAGGTCAATCTCACTACATAGTGAGACCCTGTCTCAAAAAAACCAAAAAAAAAAAAAAAAAATCGTACAACTGAGGGCTGGGGATTTAGCTCAGTGCCTGTCTCGAAAGCACCAGGTCCTAAATTCGATCCCTGGTACTGGGGGGAAAAGAAATCCTACAACTGATCCCTCACTGTGCAGCCTCTCCACATCTTCCAGCAGAAAGGTCCTGGCTGCCTATCTTTGCACATAGAACCCTAAACAGCAGAGCTTGCTCTGTGGACCCCCAAATCCACAAGAACCCAGGGGGCCCAGTGATCCTAGCAGGTGGTAGTATCAGAGATCCTTTCTCTAGCCAGGTCCTGTGCAGCAAAAGCTGTCATCTCACCAGTCTTCCACTCTAACTGGTCTGTGGCTGCACTCAGTGACATGCACTATTCTACAGGGTATAAACCAGCAGGTCCGTTCTCTTGCTCAAATTGTCCTGTTTGGTCAGTAGGAGCCCCTTACAACGGGCCCCTGTGCTTGAGACAGCTATTATCTTTTAGAATTAATGTGAAATCCACATAACAGCTAGATGTGGTCATGCAGACCTATCACTTTGGAAGGCTGAGGCAGGAGGATCATAAATTCAATTCAGCTGCGTTGAGGCTGTAGCTCAGTGCGACGATCCTGGGTTTAATCCCCAGTACACCACACACACACACCCACCCAGCCACCCCTTTCCTCAGACAGATGTCTGTTTACTGCTTGTCTCACTAAATTCCAGCAGAGTCTGGGCTGCCCCTTCCTGGTTCTGAGTCCCCAGCATAGACACACTGTGTCCCCACCAATGCTGGTCCCTCTTCCGCTTACCCCACTCAGTATTTTGCCCTGGGGCTCTGGGGCTCTAACCAGCCACTGAGCATGTGGGGAGATAGCCTGGGCCCAAGGATCGCAGCTCTGCCTCCTTAGGCAGGAGGAGAGAAACCACCAGTCTAGAGCAGCAGTACCCTGGGTGAGTTTGGGGATACAGGGGATGTGGGGTGAGTGTGGCCTGTCATTTACCCATCCAAGCCTCCCACACCTGCCTATCTACTTCCAGCCTATGGTATTCAGTGCTTGGGGGGTAACAGAATGGTGCCCCTCAAATGGTCCTTGTGCTGATCCCCAGAGTCTGTGGACACCTCACCTTCCGTGGCCCAAAGGACTCTGCAGTCAGGATTAAGGATTTGAGGCAGGTGATTATCCCAGATTAGTGCTGAATAAAATGTACAGATGGTCACTGGTTTAGACTGCACTCCAGCACCAGGCCCACAGACCAGAACAATTAACGCTCAGGCTAACAGTTCCAGGGCACAGGGCTGTGAAACCAAGTTTATCTGATTTTCCCAGAAGGCAGGAGAGGGAGTGATAACAGCTGAATCACCAAAGGAGCTGGTTTTAGCTGGCTGGACCAGGAAATCCCCTCTGCTCTAACTAGTACAGTGAAAGGGAACTTTCAAAGGACCCGTTTCTCCTCCTTTGTCCTTCTGCTGCCTACAAAGCTAGATTCTCTAATAAACCCAGAGGACACTTGTTCTATCTTACAGAAGGAGGTGGTATTCATTTCTAGAACTGCACGGAAAAGCCAATTAAGATCTTCAAATGAAATGTGTTAACTTCGTCTTTTGCCCTTTAGGAGAACCCGATGTCGGTGCAGGGTTCCTTAAAACCAGGGAACCACCAAGGGTAGTGGAGCGTGCCTGCCTGTTCTCCCAGCGCTCTGGGAGACTGAGACAGGAGGATCGCAAGTTAGAATCCACCAACGTAGTGACTTAGCAGAGACTCTCAAAATTAAAAAACAAAACACCCCCAACCCTCTCCACACATACACCTTCAGGTGGAGGATCCGCAGCACAGGAAGGCAATCATTTCTTTTTCTTTTTCCTCTTTAATTGGGGATTGAATTCAAGACATTCGCACTGCTACATTCCCATACTTTTTTTTTTTTTTTTTTTTTTGGTACCGGCGATCAAACTTGAGACCTTGCCCTTGAGAGGCAGGCGGAGGCACCACAGAGCTAAATCCCCGGCCCTTATTTTTCTTTGTTTTGAGACAAGGTTTCCCTAAATTGCCCAGTCTGGGCTCGAACTTGACGATCCTTCAGCCTCAGGCTCACCGCATGCTAGGATGACAGACGCACCCCAAATTCCGGCTGAATTCCAGAATTTAAAGAGATCAGCACAGTATTGGAGACGCTGGGGTGTCAGTGCTAGAAAGCTTGCCTAAGATGCGCGATGGCCTGGTTTACATCTTCAACATAGTAATAAAATAAAAATAAAAATGTGTTGGATGGGACTTGGGGTGTGGTGTCCAGTTGTCGCTGACAGCCCCCTAATTTGGAAGCCCATGAGACTAGAGGCCCAGGGCACGGGGGAATCGAGGTCTGGGCCCTGGACTGGGAACCGAGGGTCCTGCGGAAGGGCTAGGCAGGACCTAACGCCAGGTGCTCTCGGGACAGAAAGACCCCCCCCCCCCC